CTCTTCCTAAGTCTCGAAGACTCAAGTGTTGTCCTGTTAATACATTACAAAACAATTTGTTATACATAACAAATTATAATATAATATACTTATATAATATAATATACTATACTTATACTTATAATATAATATAATATACCATACTTATATAAAATACCATACTTATATAATATAAAATACCATATAATATAATATACCATACTTATAATATAATATACCATACTTATAATATAATATACCATACTTATATAATATAAAATACTTATATAATATAATATACTTATATAATATAATATAACAATTTATAATATAATATACTATACTTATATAATATAATATAACATTTTATAATATAATATACATATATAATATAACAAATTATAATATAATATAATATACATATATATAATATATTTCGGTGGCTTTTTTTATTTATTATAATTATTTCATAAGTAATAAAATGACACATTTCGTTTTTGAGGAATGTACCAGATTTCAGTCAATTGAGACTCGATCTCCTTATCAATCTTATGCCACACTGTATCGAGCGCGCCGGACGACGTGTGAAGCCACTGCTTCAACACAGAGTGGGCACTTTCCACCCTACAGGTAGCAGTGTTGCCAAATGTGTTACTTGGTTCGTCCAGGTTTTCACAACTTCTCCTTGTGGCCTAGCCACGTCTGCTCGAGATATTGTACCACTTGTGAGCCATTCCCATATTTTGCATTCAATTGAGCTATGGCAGTGTCGTACTCATCCGACGTACTGGCATCCATAATCAACTTCCACCGACCGCGCAAGAACCTCTCATATAATTTTTAATTTTTCCCAAACAGGTTGTACACTTTGTTTTCCACATCCTTGTTGATGTGCCACGTGTAGAGTAACTGGGCAGATTGGGGAAAATGCCTCCTAATAGGAGTCATTAAGCCCAACTCTCTGTCACTGACAACAGCATTAGGATGCACCTGAGCAGCGGCAAAAATTAGTGAGACACGCCAAAAAAAGCTCAAATTTTTTTACCATATTGCACAAAGTACTTTTATTACTAATTAAATTAATCGTGTACTTCATATAAATCCTTACCGTATAGCCTATGAGAAATCTCAACTTGTCGAGAACCCAATCATAATTGGCCTCTTTCTCGTCCTTCATGAGGGCATACGCAATTAGAAAGTTATTATTGCACGGCGTCATGCCAATCATCTCGACCAACGGCATCTTGTACCTGTGAAAATGAGACCAAAAGATAAAAATTATAATCACATAAAATTTTTAATCTAAAATACAAATTTAAATTAATACTAATAACATATCTGTAAATTTAAAATACATGTTGGTTTTGTACGTCGAATCTATGCCGACAAACCAGTAATAGGTCCAGAATAGACTCACTGAATCAGGATGGGCCATGAATATGTGTGTCAGCGCATTTGTATTCGGATCGACATTTGTATAAACTATTTACTTGCTGCTGCTAGCCAAATGTAGAAGTTGGGTAGGAACGTCCCTACCCTTAAGACTTTCCTTACGCAACTAGTCTCTATAGTTATATATATGTCGCCGATTAGCATGGTCGTGTGGATTTTTTTCCTGGACGGCGGCCAAAATATTTGCTGGTGTCGCATGCGCAGCAGTCATATCACGAATAATATTTTTTGATGACTGGCTGATGCCGCTCGACTGTCGATGGCCCTCAGGATACACAGCAAATGAATGATTATGGTATCCCTTCGTTTCATCTTAACTCGTGTGGATCATCCAGTATGTCGATCTGGCAACACGCTTTACTTGTATCTCAAAAGGACACTGGCACGCTTTCGTTTTGGAATGTCTAGAAACAGCTTTATTCATATCTACGTTTTTGCCTCTATAACGTTCGCCTCGGTTGCACTTCAAATCTTCAGCCTTCCGAGTTTTTTGTGTTTCGAAATACTCAAAAAAAAACCATTCAGAATTGCCGTACTTTTTGCATCATTAATAGCCTCCGCATCACTAATAAACCGCGTAGTTGTACTGAAAGCATAACGGTAATCAATACCATCTCCTCCAAAATCTTATAAAGACACCTACAATGTATTTAATAATTTTAAAGCATTTAAAAATAATAAAAAAATAAAAAAAAAAATTAAAAAAATGATATCCGGTCGGTCGGACCGGCCAGACCCGGTTTCAACCGGCCGTCGTGGCCGGACACCAAGTGGGTCGTACGGCCGGTCGGTTAGTACAATGACCGGTCCGTACGACCAGCTTTACCGCACGGCCAGGGTGTGTCCGATCGAACCGGCCAGACGCCTTTGAGGCCTTCCGGTCCGGCCGGTCGGACACCGCCATGGCCGTGCGGTAAAGCTGGCCAGACGATTTTTGATTTTTACCTCTAAGCTACTCGACATCTTGCAGAGACAACAAATGAAAAGGGCAAAATCGTCCAAGGGGGGCGGTGACTAGTAATAAGGGGGCGATAAATAATAACGCCCTTAAAGATATTTTGAAACCCAAAGAATTGCGCTTACACAAAAACCTTTTTTTTTTTCTTGCGTTATGTTATAAGTCATTCTACTGTGTGCTAAGGCGTATTATAGCTAAAGAATTGCGCTGACACAAAAAAATTGCGTTTTTTTTTTTAATTTTATTTTTTGCGTTGTGTTATAACAAGTCACTGTACCATGTGTTAAGGTGGATTATAATTATACACGCGATGTAATCTAATTTGTTGAAACAGGAACTATTGGTTAAACCTCAGACAGCACCTATAATGCTTTGAGTCCATTAAAATAAATATTATTGCCAAGTAGGAAATACCAAATCTAGAAAAATATACTCTTCAATACAATTGCAAATAGATTGGGTCGTGTTGTGTGACAACAAGAGAAAGAGGTCTATCATTAAGTTTTAGACCGAAATAGAGACATAACTTCTTTGAATTGGAGTCAATTTTGTTTATTTTTATCATTGGATAAACCGGTTGCAGACGAGCCTGTCAAAAACTGGTCAATGACCGGTTGAACCAGCTAGTTAGAATCGGTCGAAAACCGTCCGGTTGGGCCTGCCATTGCATTTTGTAGAGCAAATGAAGTATTACTACATTTATAGAGCAATTCATTACTACTTTTGCCAATGTTGGACAAGCATTGTCCTTGAATATTGTACAGCAAATGCATGTGCTTTGCGCTTGAATTGTAGAATGTGTTTTGGCTGAACGAAGCTAGGTTGTGGTAATTATATTATAAAAGTGAAAGTTTGTGAAAAAAAAAAAAATAATAGCTGAATGCATGGTATTCAAGTTTTATTAAGTCAAAAAAACTTGAATATTGGTCATTCCATGATAAATTAAATACATAAATTGATTGTTACTTAATTTGGACTAACTGAATACATAAATTCAGTGACGGATCTAGAAATTTTACTCAGGGGGCCCGATTTTAAATGTTATAACGAGCAATTGTAGTTTAAGTCCAAACACTCATTTCATGTAAAATGTATTTACTATAAATATAAATATCGATATGTGTACTATCAAGTTTTAAAAACTTATAATTCGTATCACCCTCAAACATTTACAAAAATTATAAACAAAAAAATATGAGATTTTATGTATTTATAATTTAAGTTCAACATCTATAGTTTATGGAAAAATAAGTTTTTTTTGTTGAAAAGTTGATTTAATCTGAACTTTTGCAGCACATTGCATATAATTTTTGTTGATCACACTTATCAAATGAACATTGTTTTAAGGAGAAAATAACTTAATTTAAAAATATGTGATTACACAGAAATAAAAAATAAAACTAAAAAACCGACATTCAAAAATTTAACAATCCAACTATATATTGGGTTTTATAAATTACTAAATCGGTTTACAATTAACAGATCAAAAATCATTATAAATATTTTTAAAAACTTATCTAGAAATGTAAAATATAAGGATTGTTTGTACATTTTTTAATAACTAAATAATATTAATAATTTAAATTATTAACATAAAAATAATTTTGAATTATTAATATATTGTAAATATTTTTTTTATATTTTTATACATATTTTATATTACTTATATATACATATTTTATAGTATTTATATATATATTATCTATTGATTTTTTAAAATAAAAATGAGAGGGGCCCATGGACCCCCCCTAGGCCGAATACAGGTCCGTCATTGCATAAATTGATAAATATTTTTTAATATCTATATCAACACTTGGTGGCACCTTCACACATATACATCCATGATAAATATTAAATACATATAAGTATATGTATTTTTTAATTATATTAAAATTATATATAAAAAATAAGTATTATAAAATTTTAAATTTTCTAAACCTCTAATAAACGAAGTTTTGTAAATACTTTTTATTATATAAAATATTATAGATTTAAAATTATTAATAAATTAAAATAACAGTTTAACCACTGGTCGGACCAGTTAACTATTGAACCAATAGCTTGACCGGTTCAATGACCGGGTCAGTTTTCAGAATATTGATTTTTATATATTTTTGTCCATGTTAGACTCAAAGCAATACAAATGCTAGAGACTGTTCGCTGTAGTATTTTCTTTCTTCATAATTTTCTCCAACTCATCAATATTATTCACACATTTATTCTAAATACAAATTCACCAAACTCTCCTCTTACCAAAAACAAAAAGATAAGAAAGCCATAAATAGAAAAAAAAAAAAAAAAAAAAAAAAAAAAAAAAAAAAAAAAAAAAAAAAAAAAAAAAAAAAAAAAAAAAAAAGCAGCTTAGCTAAAGGGTAGATCAGCTTGGGCCGAGATGATTAAGCTCATCCGCAGGAGCCATATCAAAGCTGGTATTAGACGGGCCGGCAACAGAGAGCAGCCTTTTCATGGCTCGTACCTGCCAAATTGTATAAACACATCTTTTTCATGCAATTTTTTCACCAACAACAAATAACTTACTGACCCAATCAGAATTTCATAGAAATGAATATAAGAATATGTTATATAAAATGTGAAAATCCCACATAATAAATCAATCTACCTGCATCTCGAGCGCGGCTATGTAATCTGCCGCCTCCTCCAAAACCACCGGCAGCGACTGCTTCCCACAACCGGGAACCAGCCGCCCGAGAACGCCGACTTTACTCTGAAACGCTGGGATTCCTTTAGAGTTCCTCTGGATGCTGCCGCTGCCGCCAGTGATCACCGTCATCACCCGGCGCTGCCGTCTCTCCGTGCTCATCTTCTTCGCAAACTTCACTGTGAGTCGGCTCGTGAGGACCGTCCGGCTCCACCTCGACCGTCCCCTCGCAGTCACTGCCAGCACTCGATTCGCCGCCTCGTGCACTCGCCGATAAGAGGCGGCCCGCGGTCCGCCCTCCCGCCGTGCCTGCTGCAGCACACGGTGGAGCTTGGCCAAGTAGATTCGCTCCTGGGCGTCCGATTTCCACTCGATCCGTGGATTCGCCTCGGGATTGACGGTTTCCGATCTGTTTTGGGTCTGATTGTGCGTTTTCTTCCTCTTTTTCATCCTCGTCGAGAGTCGGTCAGGATCGGCCGCCGGATTTGATGATATCATCTTCTTCTCTTGATTTTGTTCCTTTTGAATTCAATTGAGGAGTAATTCGTTCAATTTGGTTGCGATTGATTATCAGAAGATGTGTATGTATGTGTTTGTATATATAATCTATCTGTTCTGTCTATACAAAAATGGACTTTTTCTTGGTTTGGTGATGGTGTTTCTAAGTTGAGTGGGTAAATGGATGAGACCAAATATTGGAGGGGAGTAGATTTTAAAGGGTGAACCCGGGTCATCACATGGCCGACCCGGGACCAGTCTTTAGTCTTATATATTTGAATCAACAAATGTGTGCGGTCTTACCAGACTTTGCACTTTTACCCCATCTACTACTATAAATATATATTTTGGTGAAATGTCACGGTTTCGTTACTGAATCATTTCGTCGGATTTTGTAATTGTTAGATCATTATGTAATCGTCGGAAATAGTTGATCTAACGGTTACAAACCCCAACGAAATAGTTCTGTAACGTAACAGTATCATCTACCTATATTTTGTTAAGCAATTCAGTCATTTATATATAACTTTAAAAAAAAAATAACATTATACCGAAAAAAAAATAACATAAAATGTCATATCTTTTATATTTTATTTCTAAAGTATGAAATTTATTTTTTTTAAAATGTGAATATTCATTATAAAAAATTATGATTATCTAATGTTGAATTTTAATTTTTATGAAACAATATTATTTTATTTAGAGAAATTTACACACTTTACATCCCAAACAGAAAATAATAACAAAAATACAATCTAAAAAACTTTTAATCATAATTACGTTAGTCAATAATTAAAATGGGATTTAGTGCGGTTAAGTTGGCCTAATTAACTATTAAATGCAATTAACTACATACTTAATTCCTTTGCACTCATCTTGATTTTCGGAAACTGGGATTTACTATCCATTTTTAAACTCAACTACCTAAAAAAAAACTGAAAATCTTCATCTCTCTCACCAAATCTCGAGAAAAACTTCAAATCTCCATCTCTCTCTCAAAATCTCCAAATCTCCATCTCAATGTTCATCTCTCTCTCCAAAAAAACTTCATATCTCAATTAAAAAAAAAAAA